AAGTGTGGTGTAGTGTAGTTTTCTCCAGAGACCAAGCCCCACGATCTTACACCACCCCTACGCCCTGAGCATCAAAACCTGATGCTCCCCACAGCTCAAAAGCATCGGTTAATCTCTCTGCAGGGGATGGGCCACGTGGGCCCAACTGTGCGAGTCTGAGCCGTTGGTATAAATTGAGCACAGCTTGCAACAATCAAGCTGTTTTGAGTCCTGGAAAAAGAATATTGCATTGGAAATGATGAGGTTTGGAGTGTTCCTAACGCGTGGAGCTTCAGGCATCTGTTTTTTTGCTGTGCACGGTACCAAAGTCCTACGCGTACCAGGTTCTAAAAAGACTCGGTATAACGGTACAGCAAGGAAGCAGGAGGTATTCGGTTCTGATCATTGCCATGTGTAATCGGTGCGCGGAGTGCATGAATTAGCCAAGCAAGGTCTGTGTCGGCAGTGCCAATGCGCCGGCAGGGCACTCAGAGTTCATGCTGCTGTGAGGCGAAGGGCTTTAAAGACAAGGAACTGCAAGCCTAACAGCGTGGAGTAATTTGTCACCCTCTAGCTTCAACTCGTCAAAGTCTGATTAGGTTCATTTTTCGTGGTTGCAGCGTGGTTTCCGGATGTTTCTGAGTCTGTGGGCCTGGGTCTTGAGATCCAGGTTCCGAGATCTAGTGCTGCCCTGCTTGAGGGTGACGGTGTGGACATGTAAGGCGGTTTGGCACTACGGCAATGGAGCTAAGAACACTGTAGTCTCAGGACATTTGTACCTGGGCTCAGACCAGAGCAGAGACAATTGTTCCGTGGGAGCATCGTCACTCTTTTGGCCTGTCATATCAAGGCCCCTGACATGCATTTGTGCAGTTAAAGTCCTCCTTGGAACTCCTAAGCGTTGGACTCATAATCTGAAGATGGGCCTGGGAGCTTCGAGACTCGCAACTTCAGGTTACCGTCACAGCTGGTAGCGCTGGCGTACCAGTCGGACCCTTTGTTCTTCTTGAAGATGGGTTCAGAATTTTCAGGGGAGGTTTCGCAGGTTCTGCTTTGCTGTTGCCCGAGTGTCTTCTGCCTCTGAAGCCTTCAACGCAAGTGCCCAGATTCCTAAAGGCTGAACCTCACGACAGCCTTCAAAGCAAGATGTTTCTTTTCGCCTCACGAATCATCCCTGCTGCTTGGACTAAACAGCCTCACCGCATTCTTCCTGGAAAAGGTGGGCATGACTGGTAGTGCCGGCGTCCCCGCTCAGCACTTAGCGTTTGCTTGCATGACAATGGGCTGTGGTCGTTGTAGTCTCAAGGATTCCAGGCCGCGGGCAGTAAGTAGTTGAATTGCGTGAATTTTCTCATCCAGTAGAACAAGAGTCGCGGAGAGCACGAATGCATGATCCTGCGTGATTGCAAACAGATTTGAGGTTCTCAGATGTAACATGCTATAATCCCCCTTAAGTAGATAGAATATGGCTTTGGGTATATTAGGATAAGATCCCTATGTACCCCAAACTCTATCTACTCAAGGGGGACTATAACTTCACAGCTCCACGCTGGCTGGACTGTGAGATGCCGATGGCACTGTAGCTGCTCCCATTAACTGGTTAGGGAATTCCAAAGAGTGGGCTTCGAAATTTGAATCTCTGGCAGCTGGAAAGTGTGTCAATAACCCATCCACTCCAGATGCAACCTTCGTCTCAGAAGCAAAATTAAGACACAAAGATCTAGTTCTTGTTCACAAGCATGTTGTTCAAGGATCCATGGCGTCTTTCTGGACGACATGACCTCATGCTGTCCACACATTGTTTGACGCCATTGCCAAGCGACAATGTGATAGCAGCAGCGTTGTCCATTGGATTCCCATGCAGCAAGGTCGGCATGCCTGTGCAAGGCAGTGCTGGCGTCCCAGTGCCGACCCCAGTGGCGTAGATGTCGGGATGTTTTCTTGTGAGCCAATGTACAGTAGCTTGAATTCTGTTTGTCCTCAGAGTTTTCTTGTGTCCTTGGGGCTGGACGATTCTTGAGCATCAGCGAGTAGTGGGCTTACCGGCACCACCTGATGGCTGAAACCAATGCCTGCATGTACCGTTTGTACATGTTTCTGTGCAAGGTTGGCGCAGGAATGCCCCACATGGGCATGCCTGCCGTGGCCCCAGAACTTGCAGTTTGGTGCTCGTTGCTGCTATATAGTATAGTAGTGTCCATTTCATTTTCCATCATCCCAATATATCGCCAATAATGTGTGTGTATACATATGCATATATATTCTTCTCAGAACCATTATCCTAATATATCGCCAATAATGTGTGTGTATATACATCTACATGTATACTCCTCTCAGAACCATTATCCTAATATATCCCCAATAATGTGTGTAATCTCAGAACCATTAAGCCGCCTAAACCCCCAAACCCCTCAACCCTAAACCCCAAAACCCCTAAACCCCTAAACTATTAAGCCGCGCCTGGCTTGTTGGTCAGGTTTACAACATGGCGCCAGGGCCAAACCCGGCCGCAGGCTCAGAGCCGGCCCAGTGGGTTCTTGGCCGTTTGGAGTATATATGGGTGGTTGTCAAAATTATGACCCCTTTGTGGGTACCCTAAATGTTAGGTGCCGTATTATCATAGGGATCCAAAAAGGGCCCATAATTTTGATAACCACCCATATATATATATATCTATACACATTATTGGGGATCTATTGGGATACTGGAAAATAACATGGAAACAACTAAACAATATATAGGGGTTATATTGGGGTTATATTGTTTGCCTCACCTCAACCGGTCGCCAGTTTGGAGCTTTCCAGAAGCTCGCTGGCATGCCTCGGTTCTTATGGTTCCAACCACACTTAGCCTTGTAGCTTGACAGGAGTTGCGATACTCCTAGTACCTTCCTGAATAAACCCTACAATACTCCCTTATATGATCTCCTATATAAGGCCCTTTCCGTGGAATCTAACATGGAAACCCCAAAAGGTAACCTTTCAAGACTACAGTCCCTTTAAAGGGGGGCTATAGTTTGGGGGAGTGTAACTAGTCCACTTGCCTAAGCCTCTGCGGCTTTTGTTTGATGGCCCAGGCTGCCATACGGACCATACCGCAAGTGGCGGTCTCAAGGAATCACGACCCTAGACCCCCTAAAGGATCCCAAAAAATGGAACCCCCTTATCATCCCCTAGTTTCCCCAATGTAGGAATGGGTTCATATTGGGGGGGTTCCATTTTCTGGATCCTTTAGGGGGTCTGGGAAGATTTGGCTTCAGAAATCCTGGCTCCGGAAAGCTGTAGAAACCTGAGAATCAAAGAGAATGACAACCTGCACCCGCAAAGGGTTTGGTTTGGCTTGCTTTCTGGCCAGATTGCAAGCGCCTCAAAGGATCTGAGTAGTGTTTCAGGCAGCTTCTTGATGGGGTGGCCTGCTGGATAGCACTCGAAGATTCCGAGCTGCTGAGTTGGATGATGTTTGCCTCCGCAGCTGAATCAGCGAGCATTAAGGTAGAAATGACCATTTCAACTACGCGTGTGGCCTTGGAGGTCTTGGGATTAAGGTTCAAATCCACGAGCCCGTTCTTGATTCTGCCGTGCTTCCACCCAAGATCTCATCATGATAGACTACCTCACAGCTCTGCTCCTCGACACCCAAAAGCTTTTTTGAGTAACCATGTCGTAGACAACCAGTTCAGCCAGCAAAAGCCTTGCCGCCATGGGGACGCAAGACGGTAGTCAGCCGCAGCTGCTTTGCCGTGATTCAGGGGAGCGGGCTGCGCCGGCACAGGAACAACCTTTTGTGGAGCACGACTTTAGCGTCAGACAGCTTCAGACCGCTTCCAACACACTCGCTCATCATTCCAGCAAGCCCGCATGCTCTACAGCAGGGGGAAAAAACGCGTCTAACAGTTCTGGAAACTGGCTATCCCGAGCGGTGTTAGATACACACAGGCTGCACATTACCCGGGTCGTTGCAGTACGGTCAGATAGAGCTTCAGAGGCCTTGTGCAGCTGTACCACACACCCCTATCCTCCCGTATCGCATTGGCGCATTTTTCCACTGTTTGTCAAGGCTATGTGGCATACCCATGATGCTCGACTGCAAGGTGCAACAGGTGCAACATTCAACTCCGAGTAGTTGGGGAGTTGGGGAGGTTTAGGGATCCAGGGTGCTGAAATTGTTTGTGCCCGCAGACTGGCTGGGAGACGGTCAAAGACCGTCGAGAGTCTCCTGTGAGACTCCGCCCTTGCTGGTTTCATGCTTCGGGAACTTCACATTGAGCCAGGGAATCATGTTGTCTAGGGCACCTTGTCTGAAATGGCGTAAATGGCACAGCTTGGCCCGGAAGTTCCGGTTGAAGATCTGTGTCGAATCCGAGACGCCTTTCATCAACTTCCAATTTTGATGTAAAGGCACCGGTAGATGTGGAGAGACGTGCAAGGATGGATAGAATACAAGTGCTTAGTCCAGACTTTCTGATCGGTGGAGGGGCTATCGGCTAGCAATGCAGTGGCAATGTGTTTTGGAGCTTCATGCTAGTAAGCACCGCAGAATTTCCAGCAGAGTCCCTCGTGCAGAGGTTTGAACCCCACCTCCATATATGCTACAACATCAGCAAAGATTTGTGCCCAAGGAAGTGGGTGTCGCTCCTGATGCTGGTGGCACAGACCGTTAGCGTCGTCTTTGCAATGAGGTTGTCGAGAACGAGGGCGACTGAAGGCGAGAAGTCATTCATGAGCTTCTAGTGAGCGTGTGTAGCGGTTCGGGGAGCGGTTCAGGAGGCTGAAGCATAGTTTGCTGTAGCGCTTTAGCTTGGCGTATGGGGGGTATGGCCCTAGATGTCGCAGCCGAAGCAGGCCGATCATTTTGTCATGGCGTTCTCTGCCGTGGTTGCTGCCATGGCCCTCTGGTTGAGAAACTTCCCCCACACAGTAACCAAAGACAGCCACCTACAAACCCACAGTGCAACCAGCGATCTTGGATACCCATACCCGAGCAAAGGATATCCAAGTGGAACGCTCTTCATCTGCCTTGAGGCCCACGATACCTGAATACCACAGCAGTTTTCTTCTCAGAGGCCAGGGAAGAGTTGAGGGTCTAGGCTTCAGCCTGTTGGTCTTGCGATATCAGCCGGGTGTGCGTATGGATCGGCTCGCAGTATAAGACGTTCCCGGATTTAACGGCTTCAGGGCACACCCCCAGCTTGCAGTTGACATGTAATTCGGGAACTCTTAAAAGCATTGCCTGTTTGAAGCTCGTGTGTCTTGTCGGCTTGTGCAAGTGGAGCCTACTCAAGGTGCTGTCAACGGTAGTCCCGCTTCTGCAGGGCTTGCCAGTGAGTCGGGCTTCAGATGGAAGTGGCAATTTGCACATCCAGCTTGGTTTAGGGAATGTAGGGGTAATATTAGGGGACTAGCCTTAGACTACATCTTCCACCTTAGACTTGGAACCCTGAATCTCAACGCATTCTCGCAATAATCAGCAAGTGCCCAAGCCTGAATTCGACAACCTGCACGGGAGCGCCTAAGCAATGCTGATCCCTCACACATTTGACATGATATGGTAAGGGAGGAATGGATTTTATTGTAGGGGCAGGCTTGAGTGCAGACAACTGCTGAATTTTCATGGTTAGTGTAGTGCAGGCACGGCTTAGCTTGTCTACAGGGTTTTCACTCAAACTCGTCTTGTGCGCGGTCTGCCTTTGGAACCCGTGGCAAGCCCGTACCCAGGGGAATCCCTGACCTCTCGCAGCAAAATATTGGGAAAGCTTGACACTTCTTTGGATCCAGCTCCAGTATCCCTATATAACCCCTATATAATCCCTATTTTAATATGGTAGCTTCCATTTTCTTTTCCATTATCCCCATAAAACCCCTGTATAATCCCTATTACATACTATAGTATCTTCCATGTTCCTTTCCATTATCCCTATATAACCCCTATATAATCCCTATTTTAATATGGTAGCTTCCATTTTCTTTTCCATTATCCCCATAAAACCCCTATAGAATCCCTTGAAGGCCTGCAACTTCCCGTGTCAGGTGCTGAAGCTTCTTTGCAGCTTCGTATTCCTCAGTCACGAGCAGGGCGACGTGGCGTCGGCAATGCGAACGGTTGTGAAGACCTTCACCAGGCAGCTACCTTCGAAGGGTTTGGCTTGGAGGGTTTCGGTTGATGTTTTGAAATTTGAGCAAGCATTTGAGAAGTGCTCTGTCGTGCAGCATTATCTTCGAGGCACTGAAGGTCTTGGCTTGAAGGCTACTGGGCATCTTTTCTTCATATGGATGTCATAAGACAAACGGGGTGCTCAGTTCTCCATGGGCCCTTGGATCTACATTTGTCGAACCATGCCACCTGGTTTGTTCTTGTTTCCAGTCTGGGTAGACTTTACTCATGCTATCCGGGGCCCATACGGAGAGCGGTCAAGATGCCTCACATTTTCGCCTGCCTGAGCATATTTCCCGTAAAGCCAATCCAGAACCTAGACCTGATCTGTCGCCAGGAGTGGCGTTGAGCTTCTGAAGGTCACTGGCCTGCACACTGTCATAGGCTTTTGATGTTCTTTTCTGGGATGAGAGCCACTAGCCGATTTTGACGCGTGCTGTGCTCTGTTCCCAGTACGCTGCCGGGATGCGGCTCAGTTTCTCAAGGTGCGCGATAGGAATGAACTGCAGTGCAACGTAGCATAGCTGTTGGACCATCTCGTCTCGGGCTTTGCTACTAGTTCTTCCAGCGCTCATTCCTACACACCCTTGGAAGATTCCCTCAGGTAGGAAGTCCATGGCAACGAAATGGATAGTCGGTCAGTAGTGCCTTGTATGACGGAGTATCCCAGGTCAGCGTGCCCTCGCTTCTGTACACAGCCCACTCCTCAGATGGAACGTCCAAGGTGTTTGAGGTCTGGTCCATCTTTCCTCTGAGGGCAAGCTTCAGAACAATTAAGATGGTAAGTCGCAGGATGTGGGTTTTGTTTCTGGTGCCTGCTTCGGCTTGAGGGGTCAATAGGGGTTTGGTGCATGTGGCGTCCCCTTCTTGGTTTTGCTGAGGATTGAGATTATGGCGGTTTTGGGGGGGCTTAGGTTTTGCAGGCTTTCAGGGTGTGAAAAAAAATCCTCAAGTACGACATCGCTAATGAGCCTTGGTCCCAGGTCCAGAACAACCTGCTCTTCATCAGCCTTTCTAACCTCAGTGGAGCCGTGCATCTTGGCAGAGGTCCACCAAGAAGAGGGAGAACCTATATAAGTAGTTTCCATTTTCTTTTCCATTATCCCAATAATAATCTCCGTGGATGTTGGGGGTTGAAGTTTGGGAGTCTTCGTCTTCAAGCTTGCGAGTATTGGCAGAGGTGCAGCAGAAGTCATGTCTTGTTGAATGACACTCCAGGTTCCAGCACGGTGCAAATGAGAATGTTCTAAAAAGCCATCGAGTATGACATGATCTGGACTGGCACAGCCTTTCCTGAAGGTGACATCTTGCGAGAGCTGACAGGTCTGATTACGGCCAGGCTGAGAAGTCTCTTTGAGCCTCAGAAACCTGAACCTCAATCCCAAAGCCCTACCCAAAGCTGTAAGTGGGGTGTATATATATATATAGGGTATAAATTGGGGTTGTTTATCGGATAATGGAAAAGAAAATAGAAACTACTAGGGTTGTATAACCCTGAACCGTTCAGCTATAAGGTACCAGGTCACCTACCAGCTGAAGATCTTGACGACAGCCGTGTTGAGCGTCATCATTCTTGGCAAGGACGCAACGTTGGTACTTTCCCAAAATAGGGGGACCCCAAAATAGACCCCAAAATATTATGGTCCTTATTATGGGGACCTCTAAAATGGTACCCCTAATTTTAGGAATCCCCCCTTTCTTGGCAGCAGGTGCTGACGGTGCAGTGTCTAGGACTCTAGAATCGTTTTGAAGTGCTCCTGCATTGAAATTTGTGTTTGGGATGCCCTGAGCCCTGAGCCCTCCTTTCTCTGGAGAACTGCACTGTTGTGCGATCGTGTGCCCAGATAAGATATAATATAGTAGTTTCCATTTTCTTTTCCATAATCCCAAAACCCAATATATACCCTATAATCATCCCTCCATAACCCATTATAGTACCCTAACCCCTATTCATGGGTAATTAGTTGAACCCTGAACTCTTCTAGCCCTTGGCAGTCCTTGGGCCTCGAGAAGTGGAGTGACCTGGCAGACAAGGGGAGTGGTTAGGAGGAACCCCCCACCCTGTAATAAGGTTTAAGGTTTAGGGTTTAGGGTGAGGACTACAAGGGATAATAAGGATTATACTAGGGTCCTACTATATTCTATTATATAACTATTACAGGGTGGGGGGTCCTCCTAAGGGAGTGGGTTACGGCAGGTTGCGGGCAGCATGGAAACTGTCGAATAGTAGTTTCCATTTCATTTTCCATTATCCCTATATAACCCCTATTTAATTCCTAGTATAATATTGTAGTTTCCATCTTCCTTTCCATTATCCCTATATAACCCCCATATAGTTCCTATTATAATATTGTAGTTTCCATGTTCTTCTCCATTATCCCTATATGACCCCTATATAGTTGCTATTACAATATAGTAGTTTCCACTTTCTTTTCCCTTATCCCAATATTCACCCTTATATAATCCCTGTTAGTCTTCTGCACTCGGGCGGGGAGCCTGTGGTTCCATTGGATTTGGCTTTACATGCCTTGCCTGCGATCCCCTGGAAACTGCTGGGGTTACATTGGGATAATGGAAAAGAAAATGGAGACCCCCAATAATGGAGAATCAAATGGAAAAGAAAATAGAAATGAAATGGAAACTCGGATTATTGTGGGCTGTATTGGGGCTAGATAAAGTCCAGTGCTTTCTTTCTAGCCTGCAAGTGCAAGGTATGGCATTTGCCCTGCAAGTTGTGGAATGATGAGCTCGTACCTAGTAAATTTCAATCCCACTCCGACAGGCTTCTCATAAAAAACTTTGTGGAGTTCAGCTTTTCGCCTCAGAATCAAGAGCTTTGACCTGAGCCTTAGAAAAGATCACATGTCCAAATTGCTTGAAGGGGAATCCATCATCAGAAGACTCGGTCCCGCTGGCATCACGGCCTTATGGAATCCACAGGCGCGCTCTTCATCCTTTTCGCGGGCGTAGCCCTCATTCAGCTGCCTCGTGGCGAGTCAAAGGCGAGAACTGGATTGTCTCTGGTGATTTTGGTGGGGCTGCTACTGTAGGCCTTCAACAAATAGTTAGATTCTGCAACAGCACAGCGGACGAGTAGAGTCACTGACCAGATGCCCTTGACTTGGTCTTGCTTTAGCCCGGCGTGAGGATGCTTAGTGATGGCGATAGATGGGGGTTTCCCAAAATTAGGGGTACCCTTATGAGGGGTCCCCATAATAAGGACTATAGTATTTTTGGGTCTATATTGGGGTCCCCTAATTTTGGGAAACTACATTAAGTTAAGTTACCATAATGGGTATATATAGTAAATAATAGGGTTTCCCCAATATAGTAACTTAATTTAAGTTCCTTAGCAGCAACCCAGTAGATGCTGAACCCCTGGTGAGGCCTCGTCGCCCAGCGGTGGCAGTGCTGCTGTGGGCCTGGCGGCGGTGCTCTCCGCCTGTGTGACCTCCGGGCGCCCGACGTGCTAAACATCCCAGACCCCTGGGAGGATCTAAAAATTAGATCCCAAAAATAGACCCATTATAACCCCCATATAATCCTTATATAATTCCCCCTATGATTCTAGGGGATCAACATACTATAGGATGAGGCTGAAAAGCTAATCCCCACAAATACACGCCACCACGGTGTACCATACTGCAAACATAGGGAAGCCTCGAAAGGGTGCGGAGTGGGCTGGGTCCCGGTTCTGTTGCTTAGGGCTGCTAGTGTTTTGAAGGGCTTCGGAGTAGTGAAGAATGCAGACACTTGTCAGGGAGTTCATGACTTTGCCGGCTGCAGGCTGGCCGGCGTCTACTTAGAGAAAATCCTGAAGCAGACGGATTCCTCCATTTGGATGAGGCCTGTCGTGGGGTCTTGGAAGATCCGTGCTGGAGGAAGTCAGTCACCGGGTTTGGGGGATCGGGTTCTGGCAGATGTTGTTTCAGTGGTCAGTGGCATGCCTGCATGTTCAAGTGATCCAGTATGCTGAAGCTTCATTGCGAGAGAGGAAAGGTTTGAGGGTCCGGTCCCAGTCTCTGACCTGAACGCTCAGGTGGACACGCCTACTCAAGCCATACGTCATACAGTCTAGCTCGCAGCCCCCATGTTGAAGCCAGTTCTTGCAAGCCATTCCAGAATCCGTCCAACTCGGTTTGGCGCACTCAGGAAACGGTGTTGAATGTCTCTTCTCAATGACTTTCCTCTATTGGGCATTTATTTCCGCAAGTCTCATTTGAGGCCTGCGACTTGCGCCACAGAGCCTTTCGTACCCTAACAGATGCATATTCAGACCTGGCAGGCTGCTCCCCAGTGCCCCCCAAACCCCAAACTCCTGCAGCCACATGCAAACAGCAGGAACATTCAGCTTGCCTTCTTTGGTGGGATCCTTGCCTACGTCGGCTGCTACATGCAGGCTGCGTTATCAGGTAAGGCATTGTAGAGGCCTTGCAAGTTTCTTGTTTGAATTTTGTCTGTTGGCCTTACCCTTTATAGCATCCGAGGACACCGTCCTTCTCCTCCCCTGATGCCTTGATGTGAGTTGTTCATTTGAATATGCGGCTCCTGTCTGTGGATACATCAATTTCCTGTGCACCAGCCTGAATTCATTCGCTTATCTGAGTGGTTGTCAAAAATGTGGTCCCTTTTCTGGGTACCCTAAATATTAGGTGCCGTATTATAATAGGGATCCCAAAAAGGGACCATAATTTTGACAACCACCTATCTAGGGAGAGGCTGAGAGCACTGCGAATTACAGTACAAACAGGTGCTCATAAGGCCACCAAAGCCCTTCATGCGGGGAGTGACTTTAAAAAAAAAAACTCTCAGTGGAACTCTTCCAAAGTGGACGGCTCTAAAAAAGTGTGCGCATCAAGCCTGAAATCCCAAGGAAAGCCTTTCAGTTGAGTCCGAAAAGGGGGTTGGTGGCTCTGCTTTCTTGGCTTGGGTTTTGAAGTGAGTAAGTAACCAGACGGATGCCGGCGTGAGTGTGGTTTGGGCATGGATGCTGTGGTAGCCTGGCTTGGACTAATGGGGCGAAGCTTGGACTTATGGGGCAACTGTAGCAAGATCAAAGAACCTTTCTCCAGCTTGGACTACTGTGGCGAAGCTGGTCGAGCACAGCTTCGACATGGCTCGCTTAAAACTATAGGGGCCCGGCAGCCGAAAACTGCTAAGAGGCCGGCACAATCTACCGCAGAACGCAGCGCGAACAGCACACGCTCAATTGTGGTGAGACGGCTGGGTGGCGGGCAGAACTGCAAACCCTGGAACCCTGGAGCATCCGGAATCCTAGACCTCGACCCCTTTATGCCCTTCCTGGGGAAAAGGCATGCTGATTCAGATGAAGCTATGGCATGTGGAGAGTCAACTGGCCACTGCCATTCGATTCCGAGATCCCCAACACCAGGAGATACTGAACACAAGGGGTTCTTATATTCCCATGAGAATAAAAAGTGTACACTTTTTCGCGGCCAGGGAACTCAGCAACTAAGTGTATGAGTTTGACACGGTTTTTTCTGCCTGGCACGGTGGGGCAGGATGGCGACAAAATCCGCGAGGCTGGTTTCCTGCAAGGCGCATCTCGCTGCATTCATCACAGCGTTTCATAATAGGTCCCTTTAAAGGGGTATATAGCGTTTACCCCCCCGATAATAATGGAGAATCAAATGGAAAAGAACATGGAAAATTAAAAGGGAACTTGAATTATTGGGTAGTTTCTAGGGGTAACACGTTTCTTTTAGGAAAAGCAGAGAAGTCCTGTTGGGCTTCGCTGAACATGTCCTTGCCATCCTCGCAGAGGTCACCAATATCATACTTTGTATCCAACATGAGGCTTGACGTCAGAATGCCAGCGAGTCATGTTTTAAGTTTGGGGTTCGGATTTGAGCTGCAGCTGCGCTGCTGTTTTGAGCAACTGTGTGCCCAAACTGCAAGGGGTGTTAGTAGTCCGGGATCTCAGTACACATTGCTGCCACTGATTACCCATCCGAACCAATGGCTTGACAGCTCTCCGTACCCTTTTTTTTTGAAGGGCTGGCTCCATACGAGCGAGGTTTGAAGCGCTAGAGAGAGCGCGCCGATGTAGGGAGACGCATTAGCATTGTTCAGGTCCCTGTGGCCGGTGATAATTCCGACGGGCGTGGGTTACTGGGAGTGACAGGTGACGCAGCGATGTAGCCTTTTTTGCTGCTTGGTAGTACTTCCGTGGCAAGGCGAACTGGGGCTCCTACAGAGTCCTTGACTCTCGACTTCGACTCGCAAAGATCCATTTCTTGTTCTTGTGGAGCATCTTGAGAGGACTCCTGATGTTGCACGGGCCACCCTCCTTTGCCTCCTTCTTCCCCTTAAGCTTTGAAAGCTTTGTTCCGCCTCCATTGCTTTGGAGGCTACTCTTCGCTGGTTTGGGGCGTCATCGCCTTGCAGGCCCGGTAAAGAGTCCCAAAATTGGCAAGAACATTTGGAAGGAGGCATCGTAACAATAATTGCTTGTTTCCGGTCAATGGAATAGCCAAACTTGCCAAAGAAATAAGGCAACCTGAGGCGTGGGCGATTTTTTTGGTGTAGAGGTTGAGATGGCGTGTTGAAGGTGCAGAGAATTCCTTCCAGCAAGGGGCGGTTAAACAGAGGTTGCCAAGACGTTTTCAGGTTGGGGAAAATCCTGCTAATGCATGCCACCCACGATCAACTCTAGTGTGGCAGGTAGAACACCTCATGCTCGCCAATTGAGTAGTATTTTCTTTGGGGATACTATGGTACCCAAGATTCTATCCTCCTTTGAGGGTATAGTAGTTTATACAAGGCATAGTATCTAACTGGGTTTAACCACCCAAAAAAACCCTACTCACCTTATGCTCGCCAATTGTCTCAGCGGGGCAGATGCTTTCGGAGGGCTTGGTATGAACGGTCCAGCGTGCATGGTGTGACTTTTCAATCATTGGGGCGGACAGGCCGTTGGAGGGCTGGTGGTCGCTGCTGTGCTGAAGTATGCCGACAACATCCTCAAGAGCCTTGCTTGAGGAATTGTTGGATGCT